AAAATAAATACAATTAAATTAAAATTTCAAAATTAAAATTAAACCTATTTATAAAAGCTTTAAAAAATCAAGCTCTGATTTATGGCATTTCCTGATTTCAATGATGTAAATACTCCCACTGTGGTCAATTTCAAGCTCCCAATGAAGCATCACCAAGTACAGAGATGAAATAGATATGTGGTTAATATTTCCAGCATACACATACAGTAGAGTAAAATAACCTCTAGGGCATAGATAATAATAAAATAGAGTAAAATAAGTAGGAAGGGGTGAGTTTTAAGTTAGTACCACCTTTGTTTCTGATTTAATTTAATTGTAAGTTGATTTTTATCAGTAGCAGTGTTTATCAAGCTGGCAGAATTCCTGGACCTTTAACAATTGGCTCTCATGAGTGTGTACCAGCTGACCCCGGCACTCCTCTGGTACAGCCATGAACATACCACAGGTCTTCCTGGATGGGGGCCGGGGACCTCTGAGCTGCTTCCAGGAGGTGACAAGTACCCTGTGAATAACACTTCCATAAGGGAGTCGTCATGAGGTAGGAAGCCCCATGAAAGACCAGCAGGACCGCCAGGCAAGGCCATTACTCTCCTGCCAGCACCATTTGGTTCCCTGGCCCAGCAGCATTATCTTGCCTTTTGCCTCTGAAAGGGCTTACTTCTAAGAAAGTGGAACTTACCCCTAAGATTCTATTGGTTTCCTGAGCTAACTCCTGATTGGCCCATTTGTAGCACGTCATTTGCATGGAGCTCACTCCTGATTGGCCCATTTCCATCAATTCTGATTGGTCCATTTCTACAAAGCTTGTTCCTAATGAGTCACCTTTGTTATACCTTATTTGCATATGATGTTACAAAATGTTGTAGTCTAGACTGGTAGCCTATAAAAGCCTGTGTAAACCTATAGACGGGGTCCAGAGCTTGGAGTGCTAACTCCTCTGGGCCCACTGTCGTAATAAACCTGAGTTCTCCAACCCTCCGAGAGCTGCTTGGTCTCTCACCGGGATCCAGGTTGCTGTCGCAACTGAGCTATCACACTGAGCTGCAACACACTTTGCTGCAACAGTCAGTGTTCCTAGAAAATCCCGTTTCCAATAGCCCATGCGACATCTTGTGGGTTTTCACACCATCTAATGGTCATTTTCTTTTTTTAACTCGGAAAATCCCCTATCGTTCACTAACCAATCATCAAAGATCCTTTTGTGTGTGTGTAAAGCATGACTTCAAATAATCTAGAAGTCTTAATAGCACAGAGTCAAACAGCATCACCGCTTCCTGACTGTGAGACCTTGGGCAAGTCACTTACCCTCTGAACTTCAGTTTCTTAATGCACAAAGTGAGGGGTAAAAATGCCTCCTCAGAGATTATTCTGGTGATTAGATAAGACCACATACGTTAAGTCTCTGGTACATCTGTGTCTTCTGTACCTGATGGCTCATCTGTGTCTTCTGTAAGTAATCAGAAATTACTTACAAACAACAGAGTACATAATGAGCCCTCCAAGGGCAAGGCCTACTTCTCCGTGGGCTCCAGGGCTTCCTGGAGGAATGTGTGTGTCCTGTGGGCACTCTACATGCAAACCGCCTTGATTTATTTTTTAGGGTCTCTTTTTCAACCTCCCCCCTTTACAGTGTTAGAAGCAGATATGGGAGAGATAATACAAAGAACAAGTAGATAATCTGGAAAAAAAAATGAATAGTGATTTCCTGAGTAAATCATTGACCAGTGTTTGTTCAAGCTGATGTAAATTCAGCAGTGGGTGTGGTCATAGTTAATCCAGGTGGTGGAAAACCTGCTATTTTAAAGGCAGTGTGGAAGAAATCAGGCATCTAGCATATGCTCCCTGAAAAACAAAACAAAACAAAAAACCCAGCCATGCAACACATCATATGGTCAGAGAACAAAAAAAAAGAAAAGGCCTTAGCATGTCTTTTTAAACTAAAGTTTCTAAAAACATTCTTGTTGATAACTGACCTTGACCCCATACTCCATGTACACCTGGCTTTTAATATGAGTCTTTTTCTTATGTTTGCTTCCCCCCGTCTGTTGTCTTGCAGTTACCAATAGCAATTTCTGAGAAAACTTTGACTTTGCTTGGAATAGAACGAGCCTGCAACCAACTTTAACCTTTCAGCTAAAGCCACCTCAATCAATAGCTTTAAAGAAAAAAAAAACTTTATTTTAAAATTTTTGAACCTTAAGAGCAGAGTTTCTGCTGCATTTACACATCTTTGGTACCTTCTCCCTGGAGACCCTAGGAACAGAAAGAAGCTTTAGCTGGCCTCAGAGCACCACCGAGCCAATTTATCTGCACATTACCCCCGCCGCCACCAAGTTCACAGCAGCAAAGTCACAGTAGCCCAGAGGTAGAAACAAACCCAAGTGCCCATGACGCTGAATGGATACACAAAATACAGTCTATACATACAATGGAGTATTATTCAGCCTTAAAAAGGAAGGAAATTCTGACATGTCACAACATGGGTGAAACTTGAGGACATTAGGCTAAGTGAAATAAGGCGGTCACCAAAAGACAAGTACTGTATGATTTCACTTACTTGAGGTACTTAGAGGAGTCAAATGCATAGAGACAGAACATTGGTCGCCAGGGGCTGGGGACGGGGAGGGGAAGTTAGGGGGTTGCTGTTTAGTGGAAACAGAGTTTCAGTTTCACAAGATGAAAAAGTTCTGGAGCTGCATCTCATAGTGATGTGAATATACTTAACACTACTGAACTATGTACTTAAAAATGACTAAAATGATGAATTTTATGTTATATGTTACTTACCACAATTTTAAAAATAAATAAACAGCTTCCCTCTCTCCATTTCTGGGCTCCACTCTCTCATGCTGGCTGCATTCTCCAGTCCCATTAGGTCACTTCAGATCCTGGTGTCCAGCCAAGTCAGTCTTCTTGGGTCTCCTTGGCTCTGATTGGATCACATGCCCCATGGCTGAACCAATCAGCATGGCCAGGAAATGTGATTGGCTGATTGCTTAGCCCCACCTACAGCAATGGGCTGAGAAATTAGGAAGGAGATTCCTGGTATTTCCAAAGGAGCTGAGTGGGTTCTGGACGGAGTGGACAGTCCACTACAGAAGCGGAGCACTTGAGACATGAGATGTGACCACTCCCTTTAGTGCCCTGGCAATTAGTGGGCAGTGAGGCACATTTACCTGAGCATCTAAGAACAAAAGGGAATTCCTCCACCACTACCTGTGATCTCTAGATTTGTTTTCTAGCAGGCTGGGGTAAAACACATTTGAATTTGAATTTACCCTTTCCCACTTTTAGCACATTCATTCAACAGCTCTTTATTAAACCAATGGGGAAAGGGTATAGGAATGATTGAGGCAAATCAGCCCCAGAGGAAGGGAAGGGATGAGATGGATGGAGAAGTTAGTGCAAGGCAGTGCAGGACGCTGCAGCTTCTGGAAGGGAAGAAAGGCAGAAAGCTTAGGTGGAGACGAGACATCAAGAGTGGAGGGAAATTTGAAATGACACATAAGGCAACAGAGTTCTAGAACACTGCCAAGTCTGTTCTTGAAACAGGTTTAAACTGGGCTGGTGTCATTGTAAGTGCTGGGCCAGGTGTCCCCAGGTAGTTGGAGCCTGATTTCCCAGAACACTGTTCTCAAATGACTCCGAAAAAGGGTCTTCACTGGGAATGCACCAGGTTCTTGACTAGCCTGGGAAAGACTGTAACTAAAGATTGGTTCAGGAGCCTAAGTGAGTTGGAGAACTTGCCTCTTGAATAAAATCCAGCTGGAGCTCTAGGAAGTTCTGTCCACCAGAGCTCCCATTTTGGAATCATTTCGTCCTGTTTCTCATTATGTGTCCCTGGTCTACAGAAAGAGAAATGTGGCCCTCCACAGGCAGCATATCTTTGAACTTAGCTTCTTACTTGAAAAGTGTGGGTTTTTTCTGCCAAGAGACTGAGAAGAGGTGGGTGGAGGGAAGGAGAGAGAAAAGAGAGAGAGAGAAGAGGAGGAGAGGGAAAGAGCTCATCAGACCCTGATCCTACAGCCCTCTCCACCCCGACCTGAGCCTGGGTAAATTCCTTAACCTCCCCAAGCCTCATGTGTGAAATAGGAATAAGGAGATCTCCTCCCCTGTGGGGCTGTTGTGAGGAACAGGTGAGTAAAGTCCAATAAATGGTAGTGCTCGCTGATGTCACGGTTTAACCACTAGGCGTGGGGAGAAACCACCACAATAGCGTTAAACCAGGACAAAGCCAGGTGTCAGCACCTCTCAGCATTCACTCCTCTGGGCTTAGATGGAGTTCGATGTGCCCTCCATTGAATGTAGCTGCAGACATCTTCCACTGGTCAGATGCTGAAACGTTCCCTCATTAGATGTGTACAGAGTATCTGCCAAGAATCAGGTGTGGTGGATGTTGAGGGTCACAGGTTGGTGAGACAGCTGAGGTCCCTGCCATCCCAGAGCACTCGGCTTCAGTAGAAGTGCCTGAGAGACTGGATGGAAAGAAAGCAGGCTGTGAGTTCCTGGAGAGCTGGGCTTGAATCCCAGAGATTTGTTCATTCATTCTTTCAACCAATATTTGAGGGTGAACTCTGTATGTGCCAGAAGTTTATTCTAGGTGCTGAGGATACAGTGGTGCACAAGATGGACAGAAAGCTCTCATCCTCTTAGAGGTAACATTCTACCAGCTCAGCAGCTCACTACCAAGTCTGTGATCTTAGGAAAGTCACTAGATCTTGCTCAGCCACGGGCTCACCACAGTCAAGTGTATTAAATGAGGTAGTGCCTGTGAGTCTCTTGGCAGGGTGCCTGGCATCCAATAAATGGTGGTACAGTAGTGTGCAATGTGGCCTATGGTGGGGACCACATTCCCAAACTTGGGGAGAGTCTGGGAGGGCTTCCTGGGGGAAGTGACTTATAAGCTGAAACCTAGGGCAGCAATTACATCACTGAGACGAAAGGGTGGTGACCAATCCAGCTGATCGTAACCTCCCTGACCCTCTTGTCTGCCCCTGCAGGTCTCCTTCCCCTGGGTGAGGGGCCCAGCACCTTGGCCAAGGCCACGGCCAGCCCGGGCCACACAGCAATCAAACCAGGCACCCTCATCACCACAGGTCTCCTTCCACCCGGGCATCCGGCCAGCGCCAGCACAGAGAAGCTGGTCCCAGGGCTTCCCCAGGCCCACCATGGTGCCACCTGCCCCCCACAAGCGGCCCGTGAGTGCCTGCGGGAAGATGTTCTCCTTCGTGATGGACAACGCCCACAGGGTCCCCATCATCAAGCAAGGTACTCGTGGGCGCTTCCATGGCGGCCTAGGGAGTGGGCACATAGCCATGAGGATGGGTCTCACTTTTTGCTTAGTTCCTCTATTCTAAAGTAAAGCATAATTGTGGGGAAATTGGTATAAACAGAAAGTAAGAAAACAGTTAAAGATCAGCTCTCACCCTATGACCCAGATTCCTCCTGTTGACTCTTTGGTATGAACCCCTCCGGACTTTGTGCTCCGCCCATCTGCACACATCAGGACCTCTGATGGTGGTGAATGTGTGTGTGTGTCTGTGTGTGTGATGTACATATATATGGATGTGTAGCAGAATCTAAATTTACACACTTTGACTCAGATATGCAGAAATACTGGTAACTGAAATCCCTCTTGCCTTAGGATGTTTTTAAATATTTTATTACCATTTTACGGGTGACAGGTGACTGAGGTTTATGGAGAAAATTACTTCCCCAGAGGTGATATATTCAATCTAAGGTAATACTTTTGGGTCAAGTTTAAGGCTGGTTATCTCAGTGACTGTCACTCATAGCCTGGTCACTTTGGGGACACACAGCCATCAGGGTTTCCTTCTCCTCCCCTCTCCCTGCCCTGGAAGGCCTCCTGGCTTTTGAGGAGGGGACTTCCTGTCCGTCACCATCCCCTCAGCCTCACCAGCCTCACTGGCAGAGCAGCTGGGTCAGCTTAGTGCCTGGCATGATTCCCAGGCCTCCTCCTGGCCTCTGGTGTGAGGGTCCCATTCTCTGTCCTCTGGATCCCAGCCCAGGACCCTCTGAGTCCCCAGGTCTCTCCTGGTCTCTCTCAGTACCACTCACCTTGTCACCTCCCTCAGCCACTCAGATAATAGTCAATATTGTGAAATATGCAAGCTAAGGAATAAATGAAATGTATTTCTGCAGTTTACATCATCAGCATCATCATCAGAGCACTCAGGTACCTACCACCTAAGTTAAGAAGTAACCCAGCCATTTCCCCCTAAAGTTTTAATATGAAAACTTTCAAACGTTCAGCTAAGTAAAAAGAATTTTACAGAGGACAACCCCCTTCTCTAATTCTATCAAGATTTTGCTACACTCTTTATTACATATCCATCTGTCTACCCATCCTTTTAGTCATTCATTAATCCATCTTATTTTTTGAAACATTTCAAAACAAACTGCACATATCTATAGTCCTCCCCTTAAATATTTTAGAATACATATCATTAACTAGAATCCAGCAGTTTGTCTCTTTCATGTAAAATTAACGTGCAATGTGTATTGGTTGTCATTAATACATAACAAAGGCCCCCAAAGCTTAGCAGCCTAAAGCAAAAACAAGCGTGTATGATCATATACAGTTTCTGTGGATTCAGGAATTTGGAAGCAACTTAGCAGGATGTCTGTGGCTCAGGGTCTCTCGAAAGACTGCAGTCGTCTGAAGGCTTGACCGGGGCTGGAGGATCTGCCTTCAAGATGGTGCACTCACATAGCCACTGGCAGGAGGCTTTGGTTCCTCAGTGCATGGACCTCTCCAGAGAGCTGCTCCAGTGTTCTTGTGACTTGGCAGCTGGCAACTCCTGAGCACGTGATCTAGGAGAGCAAGATGGAAACTTCACAGTCTCTTATGACCAAGCCTCAAGTCCTGGATTAACAGTCCTTCCTTGAGCTCGTCTCTCTCCGTCACATTTGCTCTAAGCAGCAAGGAGTAACCAGGTGGCACCTTCCAGGACTCTGCCTGGGACTCTCTTCAGCTCGATCACTCGGTTCATTAGGAACATTTTCTCGTGACCACAGGCAGCGTGTTATGAAAGCTTCTGCCACCACATAACAAGGGTCCCACAACCCCAGTAACACTTTTCCTGGGAACCTTCCCTCATCGCCTCCTCGAACACCAGGCTCCCACCAATAGACCCTTTGAGCTTCCATAAGACTCGGCAAAAGTTCTCCAGCCCCTGGCCACTGTTCCATCCGAAACTGCTCCACATTTTAGGGTTTTGTTAAGGCAGCACCCCACTCCTGGTGCCAAAATCTGTATTCACTGTTGATTGCTGTGTAACCAATTACTCCAGGATGTTAAGGGTCTAAAAAAACAATAAACATTTATCTCAGGGTTCCTCTGGGTCAGGAATTTGGGAATGGCTGTGCTGGGTGGTTCTGGCTCAAGGTTTCTCATGAGATTGCAGTTGTGATTTTGGCGGGGGCCGTGGTCATCTGAAGGCTCGCCTGTGGCCAGAGGACCCACCACTGGGATGGTTAGTTCACATGGCTTTTGGTAGGAGGCTTCAGTTCTTCTCCAAGTGGACCTCTCCATCAGCTGCTTGAGCATCCTCTTGTGATGGCTGCTGGCTCCTCCAGACAAGCGGTCCAAGAGAGGCAAGTGGTTCTAGAGAGCAAGGCTGCAATGTCTTTTATGACCAAACATCAGGAGTCAAACTGTCATTTCTGCAATATCCTTGGTTACGTAGATAAGCTTAGTTATGGACTGAACTGTGTTCCCACCCAAATTCACGTGTTGAATCCCTTACCCCAGGACCTCAGAATGTGACTATATTTGGGGACAGTGTATCCAAACAGATGATTAAGTTAAAATGAGACCATTTGGGTGGGCCCTAATCCAGTATGGCTTGTGTCCCTATAAGAAGAGAGAGAAAGATACCAGGGCACACGTGCACAGAGGAAGGACCACGTGAGGACACAGCGAGAAGGCGGCCGTCTGCAAGTCCAGGAAAGAGGCCTCAGGAGACACCAGTCCTGCCAGCACCTCGATCTTGGACTTGAGCCTCCAGAACTGTGAGAAAGTAAATTTCTTTTGTTAAGACCTCCTGTGGTGTGTTGTTATGGCAGCCCGAGCTGACTAATACGAAGTTCACCCAGTATTAGAGAAGACAGTGCAGATGTCTGAATACCAGGAAACAAGAATCAGTGGGGCCGCCTTGGAATCTGGCCAGCACACAGTGAGAGGCAAGGATCTCCAGTGTGCTCTTGCTGAGTTTTGACCGTCATACACGCCTGTGTGACCCAAATCCCTGTCAAGATGGAGAACACTCCCATCACTGCGGAAAGTTCTGTCATGTCCCCTCCCGGTCGGCTCCCAGCCCCACCCCCCACAGGCAACCAGTCTTCTGAATTCTTTTTCCCGTCATGGATTTAGACACTCCTGCTCTAGAATCTCATGTGAAAGGAACCATGTAGTATGTATTCTTTCGTGGACGGCTCTTTTCCTTTGGCATAATGTTTATGAGATTCACCCGTTCTGTTGTGTGGATCATGAGTTTGTTCTATTTTATGACCATATATACAGTTTTTCTTTTAAATCCATTCTTTGGACACATGGCACATGGGCTGTTTTTTTCTTTTCTTTTCTTTTCTTTGTTTTTTACTTTGCCATTTTAATTTTTCCACCATGATCAGTGGATTTCGCCACCCGTTCCTCCAGGGCTGTGTTGAACCTGGGGCTTCTCTAAGGGCCTTCCGTTCCCCCGGGGAAGTCAAGGAGGAGTCCTGTGGCTTAGAGGCCCTCAGATCTACTTGGGCCTTATCACCTCAGCCTCCCAGTTGGTCTCATCTGTTTCCAAACTTTGGCCCTCGTTTCTCTGACTCTCTGCGTCATCCTCAGAAAAGGGCCTTCATCCTCCTGTGTGGTGGGGGTGGGGGGTCCTTCCTGTCAGGCTCTGGGCCTCTCTACTCCATGCTTCAGAGACAACTCTATGCCCCAGTCCTCCAGGCTGGCTCTTGATAGAAGGCACCTCTTTTTTGAGGGTTCCAAGAGAGCTCTTTCCTCTCTTAACAGAGCTGGCCTCTTCAAATATAGTTGGTTTACTGTTAGACTGTCACCTTGTGAAAAATTCTATTTGAAAACCCAAAGCCAAGGACTTATTTATCGCAGGTCAGGGGTTCTCAGTCACAGCATGATGACATTTGGGTCCTGGACAGTTCCTTGCTGTGGGGTCTGTCTGTCCTGTACATTGTGGAGTGTTTAGCAGCATCCCTGGCCCCCACCCACTGGATGCCAGTAGCAACACCACCACCATCACCACCCCCAACTGTGATACTCCAGAACATCTCCAGATATTGCCAAAACTCAAAATGTCATTTCGCCTAGTAGCAAGATCACCCTGTTCTTGTTAATACTCACCCTTCCTTTTCCACAGGCGATAAAACCTCAGCTCCCAGGCCAAATCCTAATGGCAAGAGCTCATGGGAGATAGGGAAGAAAGAATTACTGAGAACAGAAAATATGTGGGGTAATTTTTTTTTCAATACGTCCTGATTTACATATATTTTTCCCAATAATCACATCATATGAATCTAACTTGGCAACCTGCTTCTTAAAATTCAGCAATATATCATGATCATCTACCCACTTCAATAAACTTACTACATAGTGGATAAGAGCATTCTGATTCCAAGAAACCTGGGTTCAACCCTTGACTCTACCACTTACCAGCTGTGTGACCTTGAGCAAGTGACTTGACATCTCGGTGCTTCATCTCTCTCATTTATCAAATGGAGATGGGAATAATAGTGCCTGTCTCACTGAGTTGTTAGGAAGATGAGATCGGATCCTTCTGTAAGTGCTGAGCACAGTTCTTAGTGCGTAACACTCCATAAATATTAAATTTTAAAAATTAAATTTTTATGCACCCATAATTTATTGTTTAACTTTTATTCACAATTTGCAATGTGTAGAAATATCTTAAAGACAGTTAAGGCGCACACATGCTGCCCCTGCTGTGGACTGGTGGTTGTCTCATGAGCACTAGGACAGCCAGTGGGTTGTTAAAATATTGAAGTAACTTACCTGCCCTTTGGCAAATAGTGCCTGCTCGAAACTTCTTAACATGCCTCTGTCCACACATCTGCCGCCCCACTGGCCTGGATTCATTTTGGTGAATGACAGTAGCTGGTAAGGACATTTGGGGTGAGGGAGGAGTAACTGCTCCAGCACCTCCCTGCCTGGGTGTCAGGAAAGTGAGTCTCAGAGCAAGTTCTACCCTCTCGCAGTAGACACACCTCAGGCGGCAGAGGGACCCCAAGCTGCCATTCAGCCTGTTCCGTAAGTTTGATGGAGTCCAAACTCTGGCCATTACCTTGCAGAGAAGGGTCCCTCAAGGCAGCCACAACAGGGTCACAGAAGCATCTGGAGTTACCCCTGCAGATGGCATCGGACACCAGAGCTCTAAGCCAAGACTGGACACAGGCCCAGTTGGGGTCAGACCTTGAGGCCTCCTTGAGGGAGGCCAAAGTAGGGACCTCCAGGGCTTCATCCAACCCACAGGCGATACCTTCCTCTGTCTGACCACTGGGAGCCTGTTTCTAGCATTCAGCATACCAGGAAACAGGCCACCCTTTTACCAGTAAGAACCCATTTCTGGCCTTCAGTTTGCTAATTAGGTAAACTTCAGGTGTCACAGCCACCTCTGGACCATGGCCTGTCTGATGTAATGCTGCCCGGCCACACCGGGCCTGGGGACCGCAGATTAGGGCCACTGACTGCCCCGAGCCTGAAATTTAAACCACCTGCACACATATAGCATCAAACAGACAATGCTGAATATTTTAAAAATAAGCCACAGGACTGTGACAATCAGTAATGCACCACAGGGGCCTTTGGAATCCAGCTGGACATTGTCAAAGCCTGCACCAGAAGAGGAGGTTTAAGAAGTCTCTCTATTCTATTTCTCTGCCCCAACCTGGTTGTAGATGAGAAGGAGGTGTTAGGTGAGGAAGAAGGAGAACAGGGGAAATGTTCTTGTCCTCTGCTTCCTGATGCAGCAGCACCAGCCCATGTGCCCCTTGACCGCCTGCAACGTGGCCCATGCGACTGAGGAACCGAACATTTCATTTTAATTAATTTAAATGTATAAGCTGACACTCAGTTTAGTTATTGAAAGGTTTTAAGTCTGCCTGGAACATCTTGGGTGTGCAAATCTACTTTTGCAGCTGTAAGTTTCTGTGAGATCTAAATACAGATCGAGTCCTCTCGTGGAAAATTTCGTTTCCAAACTGAGATGCACTCAGTGTAAAATAAACCCTAGATTTCAAAGACTTAGTACCCAGAAGAAACAGAATGTAAACTATCTCACTGTGTTTTGCCTTGATTACATGTCGAAATGAAAATTTTTTGATATATTGGGTTAAATAAAATTTATCATTAAAAAAATTCATCTCTTCTTTTTACCTTTTTAATGAGATGACTTAAAAAATTTTAATGGCATTCTGTGGCTGGACTTATTTATTTTTAATCAGGCACTGCTACTCTAGTGAGTAAGGACTCAGGAGCCAAGAGGGACAGATGAGGGATGAGAATGTCAAATAAAAGGTTTCTAATCATGAATGTGGTTGGGGAGGTGGAGGGAGAGGATGGGCAGCTGCTGAAACAAACAGATCCTTGACGTTCCCCACGAAGCCCTTCCGTTGCCCCCTTATTCTGTTCAGCACCTTCCTCTCCCTCCACCCTTAGTGGCAGCTGCCTTCCAGAAGACATGGGGAGGAGCAGGGACAGGGAAGAACAGAGTATTTGACGAAGAGAGAGTCTCCATCTTGGTGCTTTGGTCGCCAGGTCCTTGGCCTGCTCCCCACCTGGCAGAATGCCTCTCCCAGGGGAGGGGGAGCATTCCTGCCGTTCCCACCGTGAGACCAGAGCATCCATTGCACCCAGCAGGGCCTCTCCCCCGAGTCCTGCCTATCTGGTGGAGCTGCAGGCCCCTCCAGTTGGTGGCAGGAAATCCAAGTGGGTGGGTAGGCAGGAAGCTTTCTGGTCTCAACTATCCTAAGATGACACACTCGTCCTGTCTTGCCTGGGACTTCCCCCATCCTAGGAGTCCCCTCAGTCCCGGGCAGACCTCCACATCTGATCACCTCAACTCCATCAAGTGAATCCTGGAATACAGTCCTGGAGCCGCAGGAGAGTGCGACCCTGCACGCACACCCCACACAGAACGCTTCCTGTCCCCGGGCTTGTCTGTGTGAACCCGACTGCTCAGTCCTTCCTTCGCATGTCCCTTGGTGGAAGATTTACTGCCGGGTGCTCGTGTGTCCTGTTCTGGACCCAGACCCTCTGGCTCAGACCCTGACTTTGCCTCTGACCCGATATGTGGTCTCTGCCTGTCTGACCTCGGTTCCCAGCGTCTTAACAGGTCTAGAAACAGCACCCGCTCCAAGGCTGTGGTGAGCACGGAGGCCGAGCGAGCCCTTCTTGAACACCAGCTGTGAGTGGGGGCCAGGCGCTGCGCTTCTGGTCTCAGACAACACCCCAGCCCCTTTCACCGTCAGCACGCTCATACTAGAATCCAGACAGATGGGGTTTGCACTGGGGCTTGACTCCATCCAGGTGTGAGCTTGGGCAGTTTTTCTCTCTCTGTTTACACATCTATAAAATGGGATTAATAAATTCATTCTGAGGGGCACAAACTGAGACATGGTCCCCAACCTCATAGAATTTACTGACCAGTCAGGGAGACCAATGGGAGCAAAATCATCGCAGAAAAGCATCTATAAACTGGTAACCATGACAACACCAGGCAGGGGAGGTACCCGTGCCGTGTGAGCGTGTGATGGTAGGACTGGCTCAGTTGGGGGATCGGGAAGGTGTCTCCGAGGGAGTGGCACTCAAGGTGAGCCCTGAAAGGCAAGTGACACTCACTTCGTGTGGGGGGAGCGAACAGTCTTCGGCTGGAAGGGGCGGGAGTGCAGAGGCTGTGTGGTGGGAGGGGCGGGGGGAGCGCATGGGGAGGTCAGTGTGGCTGAAGGGTGTGCTCCAAAGGAAGGTGGCTCGAGACCAGGTAAAAAGAGCAGGAAGTGATGGCGGGTGTTAAACAGGGCGGTATCTGCGTTTGGATGAGTTCGCCACCACAGGGAAAGAGACCTGGACACCACTGAGAACGGTTTTGCTTGTCTCCTCTTGGGAAAAGTTAGGTTTTGATGGGTTTGTTATGTTGCCTATAAGGAGTAGATTAAGAAACTCAAACCATTGAAAAAGGAGAACCAGGACTTTCCTGGGACCTCAGCCTGTTCGGGTGCACAGACGGCGAGGGAGGGTGGAAGTCTACGCCCTTCTGTTCCTCGTGCCCCAAGAAACACGATGGCCAAGGAGCCCAACCAACGCACAGGGCCGTGCATTCCCTGGGCACCGCGGGCCATCAGCTGGGTCTGCTAAAGTTTCTGGGGTCCACAAACGTGCTTGGGACCTGGAGGGAAATTGTTGGCTCTAAAATGCATGGATAAAACAATGCAGAATCAAAATGAATAAATAATTGAATGAATGTTCGCAAACGTGACTGGGCGTCCTTCATTCATTGTTAATGCTAACGTTCGTTAAAGTTTCATCACCTTTGCAAACAATTGGTTCAGTTTCTCACTTCACAAGAAGCTAATATTGCACAACAACTGCCCAGAAATCAATAGTCGGTTGGAAATTTAAAATACTTGGAGCCAAGTGATCTCATAAGCAGAATGAAAGAAATCTCTATGAATGTTTCTACATACACACAAAAAAATCAGTGTCGGTGTGAGTGAATTGTGGCATGTTTGATATGATGTAGTGTGGAGCCTCCAAACATAATGCCAGAACCCCTGAAAGTCATATAAACAGCCCTTGTAGTACTGGGGTTAATAACAAAAAAATCAGGAAAAGTTAAATGTCTACCAGGTGGATCCTAGTTAAATACATTTGGCGCACTTGTACAGTGCACTACAATGCTACCATTGAAAAGGAATGCAGCATTGCTACAAATACTGACATGGGAAGATGTTTTTGAAGTCAGGTGATAAAGCAAGTTGAAGAAAAATCTCTGTCCTGTAAATCCATTTTTGTTTTTTTTTTTTAAAGATCCAACTGCAGTAAAAATAGCTAACACAATGCTAAATGCTCTACATCAAGGGCTGGCAAACTTTCCCTGTGAAGAGTTAGAAAGTAAATATTTTAGGCTTTGCGGGCCTTATGATCTGTGTTGCAGCTACTCAGCTCTGCCTTTGTAGCTGGGGAGCAGTCGCAGATAATATGTAAATGAATGGCTGTGAATGTGTTGCAATAAAACTTTATTTACAAAAATAGGTGGAGGGCCAGATTTGGCCATAGGGCCATGGTTTGCCAACCCTACTCTACATCATTATTCTGTTTAATTCTCAAATAGCTCTTTATAACAGAGACTATTAGTGTCCCTAAATTATACATCTGGAAACAAAATTTTGGCGAGAGTAAATGACCTGCCCCAGGTCATCAGCTCTTGCTGCATAGAAAAAAAAGTCTAGAAAGGGGTACATCAGAATGCGTCAGCGCAGTTCGTTAACAGTGGGGAAGAGGAATGAGGCGGCTTTTTCTCTTTTCATTACTCCCATAATGCTTTCTCTGCATAACTCTCGAGAAATGTGAAGATTAATCTGAAAATATGCTTTAGGACCTTGGGGAAACTCACAATCTCCTCTGTGTTCTCTGTCGACCTGTGTCAGTGTGGACCAATGACGTGGAACTGTCGGAACAACCAGTGGCCCAGGACATTCCCGGGGCAGGACCTTCCAGAGAGATTTTTGTGGACCAGGACCTGGCCCAGCAGGACAAGGTGAGGGGTCTCGGGGAAGGACAGAGCTACAGCAGCAAGAAGGACCACGGAGCGCTTGCCACTGCCTCTTGTTCTCTGTGTCCTAGAAATGCCCTCCTTTACTGTTTACCAGAAACCGCCTCTTACTTCCAGCCACAGTGTACTGAGCACCTACTGTGTGCTGAGATGTGTCCTGTGCACTTGATGTTCAATTATCCCATTAACCTTCACCGCCTTCAGAACAGATTTTATCACCCTCACTTTGCAGATGAGGAAGCTAAAGCTCAGAGAGGGTAAATAACTTGTTCACGGCTGCCCAGTGTGAGGAGCAGAGCTAGGGTGCAAACATCTAAGCTGGTTCTTTTATATATATATTTTTTAATGGAAGTACAGTTGATTTGCAATGTTTCAGAGGTGCAGCAAAGTGATTCAGTTTCCATATGTCTGTCTATCTGTACATATCTGTTCTTTTTTATATTCTTTTCCATTATAGGTTATTACAAGATAATGAATGTAGCTCCCTGTGCTATATAGCAGGTCCTTGTTGTTTATCTATTTTATATATATAAAATAGATATATCAGTATGTATCTGTTAATCCCAAAGTCCTAATTTATCCCTTCCCTCCTTTCCTTTTTGGTAACCGTAAGTTTGTTTTCTATGTCTGTGAGTCTATTTCTGTTTTAGAAGTAAGTTCATATGTATCCCTTTAGATTTTTTAGATTCCACATATAAGTGATATCATATGATATTTATCTTCACTTAGTATGCTAATCTCAAGGACCATCCATGTTACTGCAAATGGCATTATTTCATTCTTCTTATGGCCAAATAATATTCCATTATTACATATATATATATATATATATATATATATATATATATATATATATATATATATATACACATACACACACACACACACGCACACCCCACATCTTCTTTATCCAGTCATCTATTAATGGACATTTAGGTTGCTTCCATGTCTTGGCTGTTGTAAATAGTGCTGCTATGAACATTGGGGTGCATGTATCTTTTCAAATTAGAGTTTTCTCCCCCAGGAGTGGGACTGCTGGATCATACAGTAAGTCTGTTTTTTGTTTTTTAAGGAACCTCCATTGTCCTCCATAGTGGCTGCACCAATTTACAGTCCCACCAACAGTGTAGGAGGGTCCCCTTTTCTCCACACCTCCTCCAGCGTTTATTATTTGTAGACTTTTTGATGATGGCCGTTCTGACTGGTGCGAGATGATACCTCATTGCGATTTTGATTTGCAGTTCTCTGATAATTAGTAATGTTGAGCATCTTTTCATGTGCCTATTGGCCATCGGTATGTCTTCTTTGGAGAAATGTCTGTTTAGTTCTTCTGCCCATTTTTTGGTTGGGTTGTTTAAGCTGGTACTTCTGACTCCCACACAGTAACTGCTTGGTCAACCTTGAGTGATGGAGCAGTGGTGGGAAAACACACGTTTCTGGTAGGAAGAAGTGAGCACTGAAGTCAGGGAGGACAGAGCAAAGAGAGAGAGACTTGCTAAAGGACCAGGGACGCTTAGAGTGAAGCAGGCATGGGAGCCGAACAGGTGGATTCAAGCCATCCTGCGAGGGGTCCAGGTTGCTTTCTCCCCACTTAGACACAACCTGCAAGTTATCCTAAAAGAAGCAATCCTACAATACCTTGCTTTCCTTAAGGACCAGGGCCTGACCTGCAGCAATTCTCAGAGTCTGTGAGGAACCGAACCACCTGGGGTCCTTGTCAGACGCAGGAATCTGAACCTTCAGGAGGCAGGTGGTTCTGATGCAGGCATCCTGGAACCAGACGGTGAGAAATGTTGCAGGAAGGTGAGAGCCAGGCTTGGATGCTGGATTTATTGCTGTGCAACAAGCCACACCAAAACTGAGTGGCTTAAAACAGCCATTTATTATTCCCCAGGATCTACAGGTGGACCTGGAATATTCCTTTGCTGGTGCCCCCGGCCTCATTCATGGGTCTGCAGTCAGCCGATGGCTTGGCCAGGCTAGTGGTCTCCGATGGCCTCCTTGCCATGTCTGGGCCTCAACCAGGATGCCTGGACTGGTGGGCCCCTCTCTGCATGTGGTTTTTCATTGCAGCACGGTGGTCTCAGGGCTCCCAGAGGACCAGAACGGAAGCTGTTGAACAACTCAGAAGAACTTGCCTGGAGATTGTACAACATCATTTCCACCATGTTTTGTTGGTCAAAGCAAGTCTCCAGGCCTGCCCAGATTTAGGAGGTGGGGAAATAGACTCCAGCGCTTGATGGCAAAGCTGCGAAGTATTTGTAGCCGCTTTTCAGCCCACCTCAATTTTAAACTGAAAATACAATGTAACTACATTTTTAATTTGTTCTATTTATGAACCATTTATGCCCTGACTTGCCAGGATTCCTTCAAGTGACAATAAACAAATTCGCTTCAGGAAAGGGGAGCACTTACTGGCTCATCTTACTGGAAAATTTGAAGGGCCACTAGCTTCAGGCATGGCTAGATCCAGGAGCTTAAATGATGTCATCAGAGCATCCCTCGCTACTAATCTCTCCCTTCTACATAAAGTTGGCTTACTCAAGCAAACAAGCTTATAAATTTAAAGTTTATGATCCAAAAGGAGGCAAGATCCTCTCTGTAATTGATGTGTGAAATCTCTGAGAAACCCTGATTGACCAGCTTGGGTCACATGCACACAGGGAGGCAAGACAGGAAGGAGCAGGGCACGTGACTGACATTCCTACCAAGACCACACAGAAGAGCCAACACTCCCTCCAGGACAGGCGCGGGATCATCACCAGGAAGGCAGAACCCGCGGCTGCACACCACCCTCTGCAGGCTGCTTTATCCTCCAGCACCAGCACAGGGCCTGGTACATATTAGCTGCTCAATGAATGTTTGTTGCATGAATAATGAATAAGCACCTGGCTGATCATTATTTGGTGAAACAGGGTCACCCAGGAGTCTGGAATTGTTTGATGCTATCTCTTGAAATTTTGCCACAGGCATTTGCAAGGACCTTAACAAAGACCCTCGGCAGCAGATGGCAATGTCAGATGCGCATCCTCATGTCTAAGACCCTGTCCTTTCCGAGGTCACAGAGCCGGACGTTCTTGAGGCTGAGTGGGCCACTCCTGGGGGATGAGCTGGCCTAGAAATCACCCATTTACCTCCTTCTGTGGCTGCATTTAAGAACACATTTGGGGAACTTTTTTCCTTCAGTTTTTCTGACATTTTATTGATGACTTCTGATGAGATGTTTGAAGGTTTTTTGCTTTTTTTTTTTCCTTTTTTTGGAAAACCTAACAAATTCTTTGGCTGCAGAAATTTTTCTTTGGAGAAATGGAGGACTGGGTTAATTATACCTGTGAGTAAAGCCTGCCAGCGATTCTGTTTTTCTAGCCCAAGGTTTACAGGAGCCCACACAAATAAATCACCACTCTATCTCATTTACTTTCCAGATGCAGTTACATGGAATAAATTTTTACGTGAAAAGAGGCAGGAAGCACCAGGAGAGAGGAAAGCGAAAATAAATATTTCAGAATACATTACATTTTTTAAGTTAAAAAATAGCCCTAATTATAGGCAGAATGTGGTCAAATAGAATGTTGTTTTCCTAATGACCTTCCTAGGTCCCCAGTGTGCTAGGCTGAATACTATAAATAAAAATATTATAAGTAAACTTTCTAGCAACAAAGTTCCCAGGTGGGATGGTTGTTCTCAATCTGAAAGTATAATTCTAGGGGAAAGGAAAATTTCAGTACCTGTGAGGTAGAAACATCCATTTTAGGAATCTATTTGTAAGTGTATCATGTAACCAAACTCTTATCTCTGTGAGGTTTTCCAAGTGACAGAGATGGTCTTGAAAGTCACCCTCTCCTTCCTGCCTGCCCGCACCTTCCCAAAGAATTATTTCACCACTTGTTTCCTCTATGCCTTTTTCCCCCTGTTTTTTAAAAGTGAAGTATAGTCAGTTACAATGGGTCAATTTCTGGTGTCCCGCACAATGTCCCAGTCATGCACATATATATGTATACACACACATGCACATATATTCATTTTCATATTCTTTTTAATTAAAGGTTATTACAAGATACTGAATATAGTTCCTTGTGCTATACAGAAGAAATTTGTTTTTTACCTATTTTTATATATAGTGGTTGACCTTTGTAAATCTTAAACTCCCAAATTTATCCCTTCCCACTCTCTTTCCACTGGTAACCATCAGGTTGTTTACTGTGTCTGCGAGTCTATTTCTGTTTTGTGGACGAGTTCATTAGTGTCCTCCACTATGCTTTTTAACGGGCTCAGCCTTACATCCAGACGCACACCTAGTAAACTTCCCATCTGGCTTCCACCCAGGATGAAATCATTCTGCTGCTGGGGAAAGAGGTTAGCCGTCTCTCGGATTTTGAACTTGAATCCAAGTACAAAGACGCCGTGATAGCAAACCTGCAGAACGAAGTGGCCAACCTGAGTCAGAAGCTGTCGGAAACAGCCGCCTCCAGGCAGAGCGAGAGGGTGATCCCGCCAAAGTTCCAGGTTCTGGATGAAGACGACGATGCCAAACAGAGAGAGATCCAGAGCTTGAAAAGCCAGGTAGGGCACAGGGACAAGGGGGTCGGGGCCTGGGAGTCACGACACAGGGTGACAGCTCTCAGGTAGAGCCTGGGGGCACCGAGTGGAGCCGCAAGATGGTTAGAAACGGGTGGTCAGCGGAGCACGGTGGAGAAGAAGACAGATCCAGGGAGTAGCGACTTAGTAGGTTCCCAGCCTCGTAAGAACAATATTAACTTTTATTAGGCACCTACCATATGTGGGCACGGGTGCAGGTGCTTTAGATGCATTAGCTTTTTTACACTTCCAGTCCTCTGACACGTACCTTTCTACCGATGAGGAGATGGAGGCAGGCTCAGAGACGCCCAGGGGCCTGTTCCAGCTTGCACAGCAAGTTAGATGTGGCGGCGCAATTTGAGCTCAGCTCTGCCACCTTGCAAATCTCGTGCTGTCACACCCACTTTGTATTTCCACTCAACTGTCACTTTAGGGACCACCTCTCATGCCCACTCGGCCCCAGCCAGAGAGAGCTGGGGAAGGGGAGGACCAGCCAGAAAGAGCTGGAGATGGAGGGAGAGACTCTCCCACCCACAGTGTTCCAAACACTGATGCCTTTACCAAACCCTGAAGGCAACTGCTGGTCCATGTATGGGGAATTTCACCCAAACAAAAATTCTCCACCTGGAATTTCTGGATTTACCAATCAAGTTCCTTTCTCTTGAAACTAGATACGCCCCTGCCAAAAAAATTTTTTTAGAGAACTGCTTTTAAATTGGCCATTGATCTTGTACATAAATTATTTCTCAACCAAGTTGTTAAAAAAGAAATTGGCCACTGATAAATTTTGGCCTTAGTGCCTAATTCTGCTTAAAACCGTAGTCACGCTTGAAGCCTCTGCCCTCTGGTTCTCGGTTGACTGCCTTTCCCTCCTGTAACTGATTCTGGGGTCAGAGTCTTAGTCCTAGAAATGGTGCCTCAGAAAGGTCACAGGTTGTGGGTGGTGAACAAGAGAGTCTTCCAGGAGGTTGTGAGCTCCATGACATCAAAGACTCCAGAACTCTGATAGGACCATGTCTGTTTGTTTATTCATTTATTCATCCACCCATCCATCCATCCATCCATCCATCCATTTATTCAAATAAATATTGTTTGAGTGCCTACCCTGCGTCATGCCCTCTTCCAGGCTCTGGGAATTCAGCAGAGAACAAAGCAAACATGATTCTTCCTCCAGTTACATTCTACTAGAGAGAGACAGAATAAACAAGTAAACAAATATATACTCTGATATTGAAACGAACTAATCACTCTCCTTCGAATCTGTGTTTGAAAAGGCAATGAAAGTAGCAGGTCCTTATAGGAGCTACCGCCACAAACATGTAGCTGCCTTGACATGTAGCTGACTTACCAATGAGCATCTTTTTCTTGATCTTAACCCAATTTTTCCCCTGATGGAGAACTATCCCTTTTCAGTTATTCTCCCATGTCAGAGTCTTCCTGAGCAAAGACACGGACGAGGGTGACTCATTCGCACGTATCTTTTTTTTTTAATGGAAATACATTAGACATGTAACACTGTATAACTCCCACATAGTGTTGAGTGTCAGCAAGTCACAATTTGAGTATTATTTGAAGTGGCTGGTGATATCCGGGGGGAAAAATGGTTTTTTTTACAAAGAAATAATTACACTGATTCATCATCCTGTTGCGCACCCCAAGCCCCCACCAGATCTTCGCTTATAATTGAAGTAGACAGTTTTATAACAAGGCACATCTGAACCAGAGGCTGCGTTGGTTTGAACTCAAATCGAGTTTCATCCACTCACACTTCAGTTGCTGAAACATTCTGTCTGCAGAACATCCCACCAGAAGCAGAGGCCCCAGTGGCAGGTTGATTTATTGTTCTGATTACTTGATATGTTCTCCCTGGTCCCTGAAAGCATGTGCATAATGATTTTTTCTCAGAGATCTTCGATCTGTTACAATATAAGTAGAAAATTCTTACCTCTATGCACTCCTGTAGGCAGGCCTGTGCTAATTAGAAGCCAAATTATTACCCGGACACAATCACTCCTCCAGCACTATTAACTTTCTTATGATTCAATACCCATTTTATTACACAGCATAACAGACATTAAGCATCTTGGGATTTATGGCAATTACAGACAGTGTGGATATTTATTTTGGTAGTGAAAGTAATGAAGAGGTTTGGAGACGCTTCAGAGCCTTCCAGCGATCTGAAATCCTAAAACTCTGACACTTAGATTGAAATATTTTAAATCTGTCAGAAGCACTGGAGCCTTTACAGGGGCAGGGGTGTATGTTTTCCCATCCCTTCTTGAATTTTGTCTCTGTATGTTCTGCCTCTGGTATCATGCAAATAAAGCTTTAAGCTAAGAAGAGCAAGAAACATTTTTTAAAAACTGTTCCAAATACCTTTTATGGGAAAGTTGTATCTCCCCCACAGAGAACAGTAAGCAGTAAAAGGATTTTTTTTCCGCTCAAAGTTTCCAAGGCACAAACATGCAGAAATACAGCCTTGGGGAGGGTAAGGGGCAGAGGGGTCTGTGTCCCCCCCTCCCCCCCGACCACCACCACCTTCTAGCATAGACCCTCCCCCCACCATAACGGCTCAGATGCCCAATGGAAAAAGTAACTGTGACTGCCCCAAACGTCACAGAATCTGAACCGAGACGGTGCCTAAAAGGAGTCAGAAAACTTGTGAAGCTTTGAGGCTTCTGCTAATTCTACCAGAGTACTAATGGCAAGATTGTCAGGGACAGAGACCAAGAACAAAGGCTGTGAGCACCATCTGGTGGTGAGACCCACTGTTCTGCTTTTTTTTAAGTGGCTCTTTCTTTTTTCCTTTCTTCCTTTCTTCATCTCTTCCTTCCTTTCTTTCTCTCTCTTTCTCTCTCTCTCTCCCTCCCTTCCTTCCTTTCTATTTATTTATTTATTACGGAGTTCCTGGGGATTCACCCTAGGACCTCGTGTATGCTAAGCACTCACTCCACCACTGAGCTCTACCCTCCCTGCAATCTTTTTTTTATGTGATGCCTGCAACCTGGTCTGATGGTGAACAGAGATTCCTGTCTTTCCTCTTAATAACAGCTGACGTTTAAGTGAACCGAGGCAAGGCTTTACAAACGCACACAAAAAGATAACCGATCTACCTTCCCAGAGACCGGCGGGGGAAGCTGAAGCTAGAACACCCCGTGGAAGGCGGCAGGAGGACAGGCATCCTCTGCGCCGCGTGCCAGGCAGGCTCAGAGCGCCTGTGATCGCCCTAACTTACTAGAATACTTCCGACAACCCTGCCCGATTGGGACTGGCATCACCCCACGGACAGACCTGGGAAAAGGAAACCGAACGTGGTGTCCTCCCTGTGTTCTCACGGCCTGTGAGTGGCACGGACAGGACTTGAGGGCCCAGTCCAGCTCCCAGGTTCCTGCTATGCTTTATAGCCTCCAATTAAAAAAAAAAATGAATGGGGCCCCATCTTGCCCATCATGTAGAACCTTGACAAGAGGGGAAAGGAGGCCGGATCTGTGTGTCCCACCAGAGGCTGCAGCAGGGACCAGGCTCAGCCTCGGGTTCCAGTGCCACAGGAGCTGCGACCTGAGCTGCTCCCCTAGCAGCCTGAGAACCAAGGCCAACAGGAAGACACGGCCAGCCCAGCAGCAAAACCGAAGGAAGGATGTGCCGGGAAGCACCGGGGCTTGGCAGAGTTAGCAAGAGACACGCTCCCCCACTGGTGGCGTCTCTTTGTCCCAAAAGCCCAGCCTCCAGCTTCTCATGCTGGTCCCCAGAGCCATCCGGGAAGGTGGAAGCGGGCACTAAAGGCTGGATTTGACTCACACTCCACCTCTGACCAGCTGTGTAACGCTGAGCAAGAGACCTTGCCCCTCTTGAGTCTCAACTTGCTCCCTGGCAAAATGGGAACCGTAATGGGACCATTAGCCCTTGGCGATGCTGTGAGGGGTTCCGGTGTATGAGCGGGCTTTGTAAACTCTGGAGTGTTCTATGAGGCATAATCTATCTGCTATTAACATTAGAGGGAATTAAGTTTATAACCTGCTCCTGTCTGTTGAACTTTGCCCTGCATCCAGTCAGTGCTGGGTGATCTGGAACCAGCAGCTGGTCCATTTATGGCTGAACATCCACAGGTCGTAGGAAGGCACGTTAAGGGTTCAGTGGCAGCTGGGCCTGGGCCCCTGTGTGGCTCAAAGATAAGGTCCGTGTTTTGATTATGTATGAAATGTTGGTCCCTGAAGGAACCAGGCCCCGTCCTGTCCCTTCCACTAGTTACAACCGAAAAGCTTGGTTTCCCCAAGACCCAACCCAGATCAAGCCGACTCCTTTTGTCCGAACTTGGAGAGGGACCAGGGTGTCCCGCTGCCCCGGCTGGCCGGCCCCCTCTGACTGTGGGCTGCCTCCTCCCGCAGATCAGTGCCCTACAGCAAGGCTACAGCCAGGTGCTGTGCCAGACCCTGTCTGAGAGGAACTCAGAAATCACCTCCCTGAAGAACGAGGGCGAGAGCTTGAGGAGGGACAACGCCGTCACATCAGGTGAGCCCCTTCCAGACTCGGGCCTGAGAGCTGCTGCCCTCCCTTCCTTCTGAGGCCGCGGCAGACATCACCAGTCAACCACCGCGCCTGCGCTCGCTGACCTGGGCGCAGCCCCGGGGATCTCAGCAGCCGGTGTCAGTGAGTTGGAGTTTATTGCCCTTTATTGCCATTAGGGCAGGGCCTGGTACATACTGGGGAGGGTGTTATCTCTCGGCTGCAACGTGTACCGAGCACCAGCCCCACCAGGGAGAACACAGGACTCCGTGTGGCTTGGGCAGTCCCATAGGCCGGCCGGCCGGGAGTACAGACTAGAATGTGGACAGGATGGGGTCACCTCTTGAAGGCATCCGTCGTCTCACCCATTTCACTCTAGCGCCCTCGGGCCCGAGTGGAAGCATCTTCTAATTGAGTGTCGGAAGTGGTTCCACGATAAAGGACTCAGGTGAGGGGAGGGGCAGCCACTACACAGCTGCCGCTGGGCCTGGATTCCATCATTCATTCACATCATTCATTCAGCCTGTCCACTGGGCACCTCCCAGGTGTCAGGCCCTGTTCTAGGCTCTGGGGAGAGAGCCCTGAGCAAGACAGTCAGATCCCCGCACTCAGAGATTTGGGAGAGGGTGTTGGCTGGGGCAGCCACCACTTCGTCCGAAGCCTTGCCGGGGCTGGAGGACCCCCTTGCAGAATGGCCGCTCATGTGGCTGTTGGCTGGAGGCGTCAGCTCCGTAGAATGCGAGCTTCTCCCTAGGACTGCTTGAGTGTCCTCACAACACGGCGGCTGGCTTCCCCCAGGGTGCCCGATTCAGGAGAGAGCAAAGAGGAAGCGTCAATGCCTTGTATGGCCCAGCTTGGGAGGTCACACTCCATCATTTCCAAAGCATCATGTTGGTTACATGTCAGCCCGATTCTGGGTGGGAGGGGCTGCACGAGGGCGTGAATTCTAGGAAGCAGGGATCCTTGGCCATTTTAGAAGCTGGCTGTCACAAAAAAAAATAGGTGCCACGTAACAAAGATGGGTTAGCCCCTTTATATGCCTGGGATGCACCATCTCATTTGACCCTGACAATAACTCTAAGGGGTTGATGCAGTGGGAGGTGAAAAAAGTTGTCCAAGACCTCCAAGCTAATAAGTGGTGGAGACGGGTCCAAACTCAGATGAGTGAGAAACCAGCCACCCCTCAGTAGTGTCCAACAGTCCCCTTGGCCACAGGCCCCTCTCCTGGCCTCTGGAGAAGAATTCCTGGTCCCTCCCTGTGCTGGGCCTCTGTTCCCCAGGTCCGTGGTGTGGCCTTTCCTCCTGGTTCTGCCTAGCCCGTGCCCACAAGCGGCCCCCAAAGGCTTCTCCTCTCACTGACACTCACTGACTCCCCTCACTCTCACCGAAGCCTCAAACCATGTTCCGTGGACTTTGGTCTCGTCGCCATTCTTGCTCGCGGATCCTCAGAGACTCCTCAGCTCCAGGCAGGCACGGGGGCGGCCTGGACTTGGAAGGGCTTGCCTGCAAGTTGGCCAACAGCGGCCGTGAGACCAGTAATCCTTCCTGCCTCTTTAACCTCCGCGAATCTGTTTTCTCTTTTTTTTCTTCAGGGATGGTGTCATCTTTGCAAAAAGACATGTTGGTAAAGGAAGAGCAAGTTCAACAACTGAAACAGGAGGTGAATCAACTGAAAAGTGAGAACAAAGAGAAGGAGCACCAGCTCGAAGCCCTCAGCTCCAGAGTGAGTGTCGGGTCGGCACCCTGGAGGGGGGGCTGCACAAAGCCGGCATGATGGGGTCACGTGACACCCTGGCCCCTCCTCCCTCACGCAGTGTGAGATGAGACCAGTGCCCAAGGGCACAGTGGAGATAGTGGCTGAGTGGGCCAACACGTGCACTGCCCAGCCTGGAAAGACTGAAAGCTGGGGGCCGGCTTCTTTGCAGGTTTTCAAAGCACAGCATGGACGTGGCTCAGAATATACATAATGTGTATTCAGATCTAGCCAACACTTTCTGACCCCTATTGTAAGTTAGTTTGCTTAATCCCGGCAACAAACACACCCACTAGCATGTATTACCATTGTAAAGCTTAATACTGAACAGAATAGGGTCTCTCTGTGAGCAAGAGCGACCACTGGTTTTCATAGCTGCCTCCAAAGCAGAATGTTTGAAGGTCCAGATGCAAACACACGGATTCTCATTTTTTCCTTAGACTTTAGTGTGTAGAATTCCTCTATGTTAAAGGAGCCTAGTAGGCAAGTGAAGAGCTTTTTACATGTAAGTCTATTTGCAAATCTTGCCTTTAGAATCCTAGTTCTATAGGATACAATCTCTCAGTATTTGTATGATTGTATGATTTGTCTATTTCTGTGAGTCAAGGTTAAACCTAAGACTTTCATCTCCGGTGGCAACTGAGAGATTCACAGCGGCTGCCTGCTGGGTTAGCTAGGTCTGCATGCGTGCAGGGGTTGGGAACAGAGCTTGAGATTCCAAGGAAAAGGCAGAATAAGTAACAGCTGGTGCTTAGTACCATCCCCAGTTTGGAGCTGCTGAAAGGCAGAGTGTGAGCTTCGGGGTCTGACAGACCAGGGTTCAATCCCAGAGCTCTTTCACTGTAACTTATTTGGCCTCCATTTCCCCATCTGTGAAATGGGAATGACAAAATCGTTCTCTGAGAAGTGGGAGGCTGGTTTTAATTATGCTTCTCTGCCTCTGGTCAGCTGCCTGGCCAAGCCCTCTGCCTTCGTTTCTCCTGAGCAGTGCCTTCCTAGGCACCCGTGATCTCTGTTTTACGTGGGAGGGGTATGTGTGTGTGTGTGTTGGGGCAGGGGGCGGGGGTGGTTGTAGAGCTGGTGCTAAGTGAAAGGACAATGGAAAGACGGCACCTGCTCAGCTCTTCTACTTCCTGAAGTGCGTTTGGATGATTTTTGTCCCCGCTTCCCCTTCCTCGTGAACCTTGGAATGAGGGCCCTTCTCTGGCCGATGCTGGCCGTTAGCACGTGGGCTCCTCACCACCAAGGGTGATGCTCTTGTGAACATTTGGGTTACCTGTCTTTCTTTTAACGATGTCTATCATGTGTGTTAATTTTAGAAAAATAAGTAGATGGTGTTGAAAATAAAATTAAAAAGAGAAGCAAACACTACCTCGAGAAATCAGTGGTAACATTTTCATGTACGTTCTTCCAGTCTTGTTTCAATATATTACCGAGAAATCAATCAATTAATGAATTACTTTACAGTGAATTTATACTATGCACAGTTTAAAATTTTTTAAATACTTTTTATTTTCTAGTGCTAATAAATTCATGCTTTTTCCATTGGTCTTAAAAGCGACGTACTCTTCTGCTGAATGTTCACCATGTTATAATGTGGTCTCCTGTTGCTGGACTTTTGGGCTGTATCTTCCCCCCACCCCACTGTTGCTGACAATTCTGTGAAGTACATCCTTGAATCCATAGATTCGCTGATTTCTCCACTCGTTGTCCTGAGGGTACATTCCTAAAGTGGGAATTTCTGGGTCCAAAGAAGGCACATCTTTACGCTCGTAAAGCCCCTTGCCAAACTGCCCTCAGGAAAGGTGGCTCCGTTTACCCCTCCGCGATGGAGCAGTTGTGTCTTTGAGACGCACTTCTCACCCAAGCACTAAGAGCCACCGGAGCTCACTGGGGATGCCCTGCCCTTGCTGGTCACAGAGAAGAGACACCCCAAGTCCTTCACCCTATGTACCCAGACTCTACAAAGCTGGATGTTCCCTGTGCTACAGATTGCTGGCTTTGTAAGAATAAATTAAAGACACTTTACTCCTCAGAACTCACAAGAGGGGTGAACTAGGATCTGCTGGGGGATCCCGGGCTCCCATCACACGAACGGTCTTGCCGCTCGGAGTTTGGGGTGTTACTGGATTAAGTAGCAGGAAACACTCGGGAGCAAACATGAGGACTTGGAACCCCCAGACAAACCCACATGGCCTTTCTCCCCAGTGCTCAGTGCTGAAGGAAGAGTTAAAAAAAGAAGATGCTCAGAAGGAGCAGCGGGAAACCCAAGAGAAAGAGTTAAAACTCTACAAAACCGTGAGTTGATCCTCCTCATCGCTGGGTGTCCACAGGAAGGCTAGACTTTGACCTCCAGAGGGGTTTTTTGGGGGGGAGGGGGTTTCCTTGGCCCGTTAGCACAAGCCCGGGGGCTTTGTAGGTGCTTATTGTTTGTTAACATAGTCTCGTAACTCTGATTCGCTAGCCTCATGGAGGAGATGGGTGAAAAGACCATGGGAAACTTGTGCTCCTAGGATTCTCTGGGCAGTGGGCTCTTGGCCCCTCAGAGGGCTCCCCCTGGGGCTGGGCTGGGATTCGGATGAGGACAGGGATGGGAGGTGGCCAGCTGGCCATCACATGCCTCTAGTAATTCACTGTGGTCCCTACTCCTGGACCAGTGATGCCCAAATGTTTATGTTCCATTGTCACAAGTTTTATCACAGCCGTGGCCACTGTTATGGACACAAAATTATTCCTTAAGTATTTGTACTTAAATGCATTTGATTTTACACCCATTCATAAAAACAAAATAAAAAGCAAAAGTATCATCTGCCTGGTCTGGAAGATGAAAATAAGAAGGAATACAGTGAAAAGGTGGCCACTACGTGTAAGTGATCACGACCGGTGCCAGCCGAATCCTCCTGCACTCCAGGCGCACATGGTCCATGCTCTGGGAGGGACAGCGCCTCAGACACCAGGAGACGTGCTTGTCTCTGTGTCAAGAGCACTGCTCTTCTCTGCCTCAAATGGGGAAGAAAAGGAAAATTTCATCATTCTCTGCTCCAAACCATGCCCCTTGTCTCTTCCAAACAGCCCTATTTAGATCAAGCTCAAAAATACACCCTAGGGAAAGAGATTCTGAGTTGATGGCTACCTTGTTCCATTTCATGCAGGATCCATGCTGATCTTCAAAAGAAACTCTTCATTTCCTTCACCCAGCACATTCACCGTGTCAACTGGAGGGAAAAAAAAGTCTACTTTGCCTTAAAGATGTAATATTTTTTCCTGAAGGGAAAGAACTAAGCTAATAGCAGACTAGATTTCTCTCTTAATGAACCAGATGAAATGAGTTATTATGAAGTTGACTTCCCTGTGGTTGAAACTCTTTCAGCAAATCCACGACATGGAGAAAGAAATGAGGAAGCTCAGGGAGGAGCTGAAGAGGAGTAGCACTGAGCAGAGCCTGACCTCTAAGACGCTGAGGGAAAAGAGCAAGGTACGGGCCAAGCACCCCACGTGCGCCACCCCCGTTCACCTCCACCGCGGCCCAGTGCGGTGTATCCTGGTATTCGCCCCACTTTACAGTTGGGAAACTTGAGGCTCACAGAGGTGAAGGCCGTTACCCACGGTCACTCAGGTAAAGTTGTTGTGACAGAACTTGAATCCAGGTCTGCCTGACTTCAAAGCTCCCGTGTGTGACCCCTGCCCTAGACTGCCTTCAAGTCTTAATTGTGAAATTCTCCAGAAAAGAACTGATCCATTCAATCAAGTTTGCCAGTGATGGTTGTCCAAACTTAAATGAACATTCTTACTAATGGTTTTTTGTTTGGTCTCTGTGTTCATTGAGAGAGGAATGTTTTTAAAACTCTCCTCATGATTATAGATTTATGTATTTCTTCTTTTAATACTGACGATTTTTGCTCTCTGTATTTTGAGGTTGTGTTACTAGTTGCATATAAATTTAGAATTCTAATACTTCTTGTAGAACAAAACTTTTGATCATCATAAAATGTCCCTTGTCATCTCTAGTAGCATCTTTCCCTTCAAGTCTACTTTGTCATTAATACAGCTCCATCACTGGCTTTCTGTTGGTTAGAGTTTTCATAGCATATCTTTTTCATAATTTCTGTCAATTTTTGTTTTAAGTTTTACACACATGTCTTCCAAATAGCGTATCATTTTTATAAAATCCAGTTTGACAATCTTTGCCTTTTAGTCCATTTATATAATGTAATTACTCATATTTGGGGGGTTAAATTTACCTTCTTGCTCAGTGCCAGATGTACCATCTCTGCTATATTTCTTTTTCCCTCCTTTCTTGTCTCCTTTTATTTGGTGGTTTTCTGTCATTCCTTTTTCCCTCTCTGTTATTTTGGAAATGTTTTCCTTTTTTTCCCCTCTATTCTTTTAGTAATAGTAAGACAACAGCATTCATCCTCAACTAACCAAAATCCCACATTAATGAAAATTTTCACTCTCCTACTGTTCTCTTAATGGTCACCCTAAAGGCTACCATGTGCGTTCTTAACTTACCAAGATGCAATGTTAGTAAGTCACTATGCTCTTGACAATGCAGTGACTCTAGAACACCTGAACACCACTTACCCACTCCAGACTTGTAAGCCACTGTTGTCATTTTCTAAACTACTCTCTATAGTTAAAGTCCCAAAATATATCATTAGTATTTTTATATAGTCACTATCATGTTCACAAATTACCCTTTCTGTTGCTTGTCTTTTCTGCATCTCTGATCATCCACCTGGGTTCATGTTTCTTGTGCCTTCAGCGTTTTCCTTCACTGTGGCTCTGCTAACGACAGATTCTCAGTTTGGTGCATGCGTGTCTGTCTGCCTAAAAATGTATGTTTAACCTTCGTGCTTAAAACACAATCTGGCTGTGTATTGAAATCTATAATGGGAATTCTTTTCTTTTGACAAGTGAGAGGCAGCGTCCGGTGTGCCACTGCCGTCTCTTGGCTCCTGTTACTTCTGTTTAGAAGTCATCTGTAAGCCTAACCGTTGCACCTTTGTGTGATCTGTCTTTTTCTCTGGCGGCTGTTAAGATTTTCTTTGCCCTTGATTTCCACCAGTTTTGTTGTGGCTCATTCAGGTGTGGATTCATTTTTATTTACCTTGTTCAGAGTTCATAGGGGCTTCCTGAATCCCTCGCTTGGGGCTTTGCATGAGTCCTGGCCCTCAGGCTCTGTGCCACATGGGCAGCTGGGAGCTCCTGAGGCTTCTGAACAGGGGACTGACGTGATTAGATCTGTGCCTGATCATAATGGTGAAAATGGTAGCTCCAGTGTCTCATGCTCTAGGCATTATGCCGAACATTTCATCTCTATTCATCCTCACAACAGCACTGTGATCCAGAAATCATCCTCTCCACTCTGCAGGTGAGAGAGTCAAGGCTGCTAGTTACTAGCAAGGTAACGAGCCCAGTCGCACAGTCAGTTTTGTCTGACTCCGGGTTTGTCTGCCTCCAATCCACTGTGGCATAGCCGAGAGCCACGTGCTACTGTTTACAAGAAGTTAACTTGAAATCCAGTTCCACGGTCGCACCAGCCACATTTCAAGTGCTTGACAGCCAGACGTGGCTGGTGGCTGCCGTGTTAGACAACACAGGCCCGGAGCAGCTGCACCATTGCTGAAAGTTCTTTTGGAGGCTTGGGGGTGGGAGTTGGGGCTGTTGATGGAGACGGAGGGCACAGAGAAGGGCAGAGTCCAGTGCTGGACTTTGCTTTTGCAGCATGTGGGAAAGTCTGCTGAAATAGAAGTCAGAGCATGTTTAGATCTGGGAGGGTGACACAGGGAGGAAACTAGGGCCCAGAGAGGTAAACGGCTTTTCCAAGGTAACAGCCAGGTAGTCTCTTCTGCTGTTCCACACCACTCAGAAGAAAGCTCTGAAGAGCTTCTCTGGGTCTCTTTTTTACACCTGTGTGATCCGCCTCGTCAGCTCCCTATTAAGCAGCATGTGAAGTTGTTTCAGCACAAAGTCCTTTCACCTATTTATGAGAGTTTGCCTCATTTCCTGGTAGCCACAGAGCCCTGGGCTCAGCAGGTGCTTCCATGAATGGAGCAGCTGCAAGGCCTATGACGGCCAGCAGAGGGTAGCATCGAGCACCCCCAGGCTCCCTTCATGTTGACTATTAACCAAGCAAGGGGGAGGAAACCCGCAAGCTTCTCCTCTTGAAATGCCTACTTGTACGGGCTGGGATTCTTAGTAGACATTGCTTAGCCAGCCTCCAGAGAGGTTTGCACTGGTGAGCGTGCAAAAAGTGGTGACAACAATTAGTTGTGATAGTAAACCGAATAATAGCATTTACCAAGTACCCGTCCTGGGCCAGTTATTAATGGTATTAGAATGAGGCTGCATGGTGAATATTCCTGTCCACCTTTAATAGGTTACAATACTTAAGCACTATTGCAAACATGCTGAAAAGCCCCATGATCGCTGTCTAAGTCAGCACAAGTACCATCCTCCCCATTTCGCAGATGAGGACACGGAGTCACAGAGCAGTGAAATAACTTTCTCAGGCTCATACGGCTTGTTGGGGACGGAGCTGGGGTTGGAGTCTGAGGTAGGACAAACACAGTTGAGCCTGGGGTGCGGAGCTTAGCCCTGTCCCCCCAGGGGACAATGCCCTGTGAATCTGCCTCCACCCTATGCCTGCCTGTGACCCCGTGCTGCAGCTGTCCCTACCCCTCTGAGACTCCCCCACTGCCATTATCCCCCCCTAGAAGAGTTTCCCCAGAGGGCGTCACGATCACATTAGCAGCAAGCACTTGCTTTCATCATCCTTTCAGGTTGAAGAGAAGCTTCAGGAGGATTCCAGGAGGAAATTGCTTCAGCTGCAAGAAATGGGGAACAGAGAGAACCTCATTAAAGTCAATTTGGAAAGGGCAGTAGGTCAGGTAGGCGCACTTCAGAGCCCCTCGTCGGCCCACGCTCTCCCTGGATTGCCTGTGCCAGGCGGCCGGTGGGGATGAGTGAGGAGGAAGGCGGCCGG